CTGACCGGTAATGGGATCGCAACCCTCGGTGTCGCGCCTGTACCGGGGACTGGCAACGGGATTGCAACCCTTGGTGTTGTGCCCGCACCGCGCTCAGCCAGTGAGCCGGAACCGGTCTCCACATGGGATCCGAACCCTCGGCGGGAGCGCCACCACACTTCCCAAGCGGCGCACTCTCCAGTGCGCTACCGGGCCGGCCCAACCAGGCTTCTTTTTAAAATGTCCACCAAGCTTTAAGACCAAAGACCTTCCCTCCTCCTCTCCACACCCTGCTCCGTCCATTTAATTAGTTATTAATTTCTCTTAATTTTCCAAGCCCTATTCAGTGAGTGCATGAATGAATGATTGAGTGAGTAATTACACAGGTTCCAGCTTTCAGTCTGGTGCACTGGAGACCAGCACTTCTCAGATTTTCACATGCACTCACATCACCTGGGGGATCTTGTCAAAACGCGGATTCTGAGCCAGTGGTCGGGGGGAGGGGGGGCCTGAGAGTCTGCATTGATAATGAGCTTCCAGGGGATACTAGTGTTGCCCCATCATTCATCTAAACAACATGGCAAACCAGGATCATCAGTCAACCTGCCTTCAGTGCTTGGTTAGAAAACTCCAGAAATGCCATTCTAGTGTCACAACTCACCAGTTTTGGAGGCATCAGGACACATGGGTGGTGAACACAGCCTTCTCACCATTTTCTCAAAACGTTACCCAAAAGAAGTGGTGTTTGATTCCCTTCATGTATTTGTTCATTCAAAACTAATTATTGTGCACCTACTATGTGCTAAGGCACTAGGGGGAGAGGAGTGATCACCACAGATGCTGACAAAGGGTCGGTTGGTGGGGGGGACCAACACTGAACAAGAATTCACAGGGACATGTACAAGTCGAGGTGCAGACAGCTCTAAGAGCATCTGCTAGAGGCTCCTGCCTCGTCTTCCCTGAAGTCACTGTGCAGCTGAGATGCAAAGGAGAGGCAGGAATTGGCTGGAGGTTGGTGGGGGGGACCAACACTGAACAAGAATTCACAGGGACATGTACAAGTTGAGGTGCAGACAGCTCTAAGAGCATCTGCTAGAGGCTCCTACCTCGTCTTCCCTGAAGTCACTGTGCAGCTGAGATGCAAAGGAGAGGCAGGAATTGGCTGGAGTCAGGCTGAGGGAAGCATCTGTAAAGGTCTGGACATGTGTTTGAAAAATGGCAAGAGTCTGAGCAAATCTAGAGCACAGAATAGTAAGAAGGGGTGAGAGGTGGGGGATAAGCCAGAGACAAGCAGATCCCAAGGGAAATGGGACTCCTGGAGGGGGTCAGTGAGATGAGATCAGGAGGAAGGACCCTCTGCATCTGGGAGGGGAGGCAGGAAGAACAGCTAAGAGGCCATTGACAAGGAATTCTTGAGAGGTGCTGGGGCAGAGAGAATGTGGGAGGGAAAGAAAGAAAGGAATGAATTAGAGAGGTGCTCAGGAGATGGAATAGACAAGATGAAAACTGATTGGGTGTGAGGAGGGGGAAAAAAGAGGAGGTAAAGATGATTTGGGCAAATGTCCAACAATGCTGGAAAATTTTAACCAATTCCAGCCAATTCTAATCAATTTTATCTAATCCCATCCAATCCTAGCTACAGTATTTGATGTCAAATAGAACATGTAGGTAGAGTAAGTGTAATGGGTATCCTAAGTTGGATCTGGGAACAAAAAAGAAAAACACTAAATAAAGTATGGAGTTTAGTTAATAATTTTGTATGTGTGTTATTTTCTTAGTTTTGTAAGATGTAACTTTAGGGGAAACTGGGTGAAGAGTCTGCAGGACTGCTCCAGGCTATCTTTGCAACTTTTCTGTAAATCTGAATGTATCCCAAAATTAAAAATTTACATTCTAGGGCTGGCCCCATGGCTCACGCGGGAGAGTGCGGCACTGGGAGCGCCGAGGCTGAGGGTTCGGATCCTATGTAGGGATGGTCGGTGCACTCACTGGCTGAGCGTGGTGCGGACCACACCATGCGGAGGGTTGTGATCCCCTTACTGGTCAAAAAAAAAAACAAAAAACAAAAAAAAAAGTTTACTTTCTAAAAAGTGAATGAAAAGAAAAAGAGTTAGAGGTCAAAGAGGGTAGAGATTCCCAGATCAGACAATATGGTGAATTAGAGATCACAAAACCCTCCCACAGTCGCCATGCAGAAATCCACATGAACTTTTACGAACATCCTTTTAAAGTAAAGCTGGACTTCCAAGAAAGCGAGAGGAGTCCTCAGGGGCCAGAAACAAAGATAGAGGCAAAGCCCAAAGCAGTGGGCACATCGCCACAGATCCCTGGGCAGGCGTCAGCCTGGGTAATGCAGGGGCTTGAGTTTTAACACCCACACGACAGCAGGAGGTGAAGTCAGAGTCATCGAAGCAGGGAAAGAGACTGGAACCCTTTCTTAGAGCTGAGACTCATGAAGAACTCCACCTTCAGCAAAAGGGAGACCAGGAAAAAAATCCTCCTATGGTCAGAGAGAGATGTCAAAGAAGTTTGTCTGCTTCATCCTAAACTCAGGAAGGAAAATTTAGATTTCCCTCCGGCATTCTTTGGTGAGCTCTGTGCCATTAAATTGAAACATGATGTTAAAGCAATGTCCCCAGTGCTTTTAAGTCATGGGTTTATAATAGTAAGACATTTAAACTCTATAATTAGAGAAATAACCCCAAATCTACTTCGAATCAGTAGTGTGGCCCGTGGCTTAATTTTCGTTAAAGAAAGTACTGAGAGGCTTAGAAATGTGGGGATGTGCTGGGATGTTTTGTGTTGGTGCACTGTGAGGTTATTTTACATTTTTGGAGTTCTGCCTTCTGTCTAGGGCAGTGTTTCTCAACCTTAGCCCTGCTGACATTTGCTTCGGATCATTCTTTGTTGTGGGGGGCTGTCCTGTGCATTATAGGAGATTTATCAGCATCCCTGGCCTCTACCCACTAGATGCCGGTAGCACCCCCTCTCCCAGCTGTGACAACCAAAAATGTCTCCAGCCATTGTGCAAAAGAGCTTCACAAAGGACTCAGCAACAAAATCCAGTGTTCCGAGGGGTCCTTCAACACCCTTAGCCAACGCCACCTAAGGCATCAAAGCAGTGTCCTCCCAACCAAAGCTCTCTGTTGAGAAAGTAGGAGACTGAGACCCAGAGAGGTGGGATCAGCCAGGTCTCATCAGCACAGCTGCTAGGGGTGGGGGAGGAGCTGGTTCTGGTCAAATGGGAAAGCCCAATGGCTCTGACCAGTCCTGGGAAGCATGGCCTGGAACCTGCCTGCTCAGCATAGCTCACTGAATTAAAGCTACTGTCCCTTTCTTTCCCCAGAAAAACGCACATAGGTGCGCGCACACACACACACACACACTTTTGACTTTGCATTTGATTTCAGAGGACTCACTGGACCCCTGAAGCCCATCAACCCCAGTTATAAAACCCTAAGCTCACTGTTAATAATTATATTATTATGGAACAATCAATATATGCCAAGCACTCGGTGAATTTATTCACCCCTAATTGGCCCAGCAACCCTATAAGGTGGGTGCTATAAAGACCATTAGCCATTCTCAGCCGTGTTGACTTTCCATCATGAAGCATCATATGGATATTATGAGAAAAGACTTTGAAGTCAGGAGGCCTGGGTTCAAATCCCTACTCTGCTACTTATTTGCAAGATGAACTTGGGCAAATCACTTAACCTGTTTCAACCTCAGTATCCCTATATGTGCTTGGCATATCATCAATGGTCAATGAATGTTGTGCATTATTCTTTATTATTCCATGAGCTCAGCCAACTGTTATAGTGTTCTGAAGGCAAAGATTCCACATCTCTGGGTGGCCACAAAAGGGACCCCAGAGATCAGCTAGTTTGACAGCCACGCAGGGAAGGGATGTGCCAACATATCACAGCAGATCAGGCACAGAGCTGGGGTTGGGACCCAGGCTTCCCGACCCCAGTCTAACAAATTTCACCACTGCGCACTTCCTCCCTCCCAGATAAGCCGCCCAACCTACTGTGAGGAAGGCTCTTGGCATGTCTACCCCAGTCAGTCATCAAGTCGTGGTTTCCAAGAAAAGTATCTCCTAAGAAGACTTTGGAGGGGCTGAGTCTTGGGAAAACTTGCTTGTCTCAAATATGGATTTTTCCTTTATTCCTTTTCATAGTTAAGAACAAATCCTGGGCCCGAGTAGTTTGATGGCAAAAGATATAAATAGTCTTGGCTATCACTTGTCAATAAACAAGTGGGAAAATATGCTCCCTTGCCAGAGAGGCCAGGATTGCAAATTGAAACAAGATACCATTTTTTGCTTATAAAATTTGCAAAGATTGCCATGAAAGTGATAACATTCAGCACTGGCAAGGGCAGAGTGAGATGAGCACTCTCAGACATCGCCGTGGGAGTATAAATTGCTTTCAGGAGGCAATTTAGCAAATTGTATCAAAGCCTTAAAAAATCTCTCCTCAGAAAATCATCAGAAATGCCGAAAAAGCTCTATGCACAGTACTGTTGATCATGGAATTTTTGTAATAGTTTTTTAAAAGGGAAGCAATCTAATTATCCAACAATAAGGGAATGATTAAATAAACTCTAGGAGGGCCACTCAGTAGAGTATTCAAGAGCTATTTAAATCAATGTTTACAAAAATGTGTAATGACATGGGAGATATGCTTATACTCTTTAATTTTTAGAAATCAGAATACTGACTAGTGTATATAGTATAATATAATCTCAACTGCATTAAAATATACACCACATATAAATGTGACACAAGGAAAAATATACCAACATATTAACATTTCCCAAATGTTCTATGATAAGCATATATTACTTTTATTATTTTGTAAAATGTAGGTATGCGTGTGCTTTTTGGACCTCAAGCATCAAGTTGCATTAGTCACAATGGGACATGTTTTACTTTCATTCCTGAAAAGATGTAATTAGCCGTAAACAATGTCAGCCCTGCCAACCTTCCTCCCATTCCATTTTCTGTCTGCCCCCAGCCATGCCAGAGCTGTCTCAGGCTTCCCTGTGTCCCCTGTTCTGGATGGAGTTCAAAGGCCACTGCTACAGATTCTTCCCTCTCAATAAGACCTGGGCCGAGGCCGACCTCTACTGTTCTGAGTTCTCCATCGGCAGGAAGTCCGCCAAACTGGCCTCTATTCACAGGTGGGTAAGTGGGATCCTTGGTCCTCCAGATCTGACCAAGCACCCCTTTGGGAAAGGGAGTGGAGGATTGTGTTTATCTTTGGTAATTGAAGCTAGTCTTTTATCCAGCCCAATTTCTCCTTGAAATTATCCTTGACAGTAGAAGGAAAAGCATTTAGCAGGTGTAGCAAATTGCATGCTGGAAGGTCCGTCTTCATAAGTGCCCATCTTGCACTGCGCTCTGCTCTGTATCACGGGGGGTTGACCCTGTGATACAACTGATATAATGAACATATAAATAATATAATATAAAGAATAATAAGTGACATTTATTTGCTAAGTGTTTCTGCACATCATCTCATTAAAGCTCCCTCAAACCATATTTGGTCGGTATCCTCATTTTTCAGGTAAGGAAACTGAGGCTCCAAAAAGGTAAGCAGCTTGCTCAGAATTACACAGCTATTAAGTGGGGGAACTGAGTTTTGAACCTGAGGAGCCAGATTCCATGGCCTGCCCTCCGAGGCCTCCCTCCACATTTTCCAGCCACTCTCACCATCTTGAAATCTACAATCTGGTGCAGCCCTTTCGCTCTCCAGCCTCTGCACATTCCCTTCCCTCTCCTGGGAATCCACATCCGTCTATTTCTTCACCCTCCAAGCCAGCTCTGATATCTCTTCACTGAAGTCACCTCTGACTTCCTGGAGCCCTAATTACGTTCATTATCCATCTCTCCTAGAACAATCCTTTCATCACAATTTAACCACTTTTTTTCACATCTGATTTCACTGCTGATTCATGAGCTCCTTGGGCCAGGTGTAATATGCTCCATTGGCACCCAAACTACAAATCACAATCTTGCCTCTGTTCTTCAAGAATCTCAGAGACTAAGTTGGAAAGAGGGCTGGTTCTTTATGTTACAGAGTCACTGAGTTTTGTTAAGAATAGAGAAGGTACGCTGGCTGGTTAGCTCAGTTGATTAGAGCACAGTGTTGATAACACCAAGGTCAAGGGTCCAGATCCCCATACCAGCCGGCCACCAAAACAACAACAAAAGAACGGAGAAGAGGTCCTTTATCTTGATTTCCAAATGAGTCTTGAATCCACCCATCTATTCATCCACTGAATATATTGAACACCTACTGTATTCTTGGTAGGGCTGAAAAATATACTGAGACAGTCAAGGTCCTACCAGGACAACAGGAACCACTATAGGTATTTAAACCAGAAACTGTAATACATATACGAGTGCTGGAGGCTCAGACCTTAGAGAGGCAAACTAGAGGTGCACACTAGCAGAAAGCCAATTCCACACTTGAGCTGGAAGGCAGGCCAGTCCTATGAGAGCTGGAGTCACTGAAGAGAGGCAGCCCCTGCCAGAGACTCTCAAGCAGAGAAGGAAAAGCTCTGGTTTCTCCCTCCTTCTTATCCTTCAGTGTCTCCACAGTGCCTCCTATTAGCTGGAAGCCAGCTGACATGGAAACCTGAGAAAGGCATTGTTCAGGGGCCAGATCCCCTGTGATCCAGAGCAGAGCACAGTGCAGGACTGGCACTTACAGAGATGGAAGGAAAAAAGCTCCTGTTCTTTTCTGCCACGAGTTTACCTTCTTCCTCTCTTCTCAACTCCCTCATCCCAACATTCTCTCCCTTCCTTCTCTTATACAAGTTGTTCCCCACTTTGGTAATACTTTACTGAAAACATGTAGAAAAGTTGAATTTGAACACATTCACTTGTTATAAATGGGGTTCAGTTCTCATAAAGCTAAGTAGTATTATCAAATCCCTGATTTCATCTTATCTTTGAGATACAATCCAATTCTATACAGCATTTTCTTCATGCTTTTTCATTTCGTTCATTTCCTTTGTAATTAAACAGACAATCAGCTTATGTGCACGGAACCTCTGATTGAGGTTTAAGATTCTAATACTTGCAGCTTACCAAATAATGTCCATCTTTATTCCAAGTGGCAGTAGAATTGAATTAAGTTCATTTGATCTCTGCTTCTTATTACCTGCAGCAGTACCTTGGGCCCTTCCGTTTTCCAGTGATTTTGATCAGATATGGAGGAAATGTAATAAAATATTCAAATAGTTGTCCAAACAGGTGCTGTTGAACAAAGACGGTGACGGTGCTAAAATAACTAGACTGCTGCTCCACCAGGTGACTGCTCAAAATGCATGTTCAGCAGTTGATACAGGAAAGCCCAAACTGTGCATCAGAGAAGCATTCGAGGATGCCATTGCTAACCCAGCTGGGTAGAACCAAGATCAAAAACCATTGGACTGAAGAATGCTTCGTCCCCAGAAATCTCGACACTGTCCTTTTGGACAGAACACATGCTCTCAGAGCACCAACATTAAATAGAGTCTGGTTATGGCATGGGAGAAAATGTCAAATAAAAATGCGATGGATATCAGCCTGTGGGTCCTTGCAACCCATTTAGGGAAACCAGACCCTCAGAAATATAGAACTAAACTAATAAGCCAGCCCCTGGGGGCACAGGAACTTTGGGCTACAGGCAGTCAAGGACTGGACAGAGAATGTTCATGGAAGGTTTTTTGGAAGCACTGGTCCTGGATCAGGATCTTGAGGACTGGGAAGCTTAGGGGATGACAGCAGATGTTCCAGATGAAGAAATCCATGGGAGACATTCTGAGCATTGATTAAGAACATTAGAGCCAGGCAGTGCTAGACTCTAATTCCAGCCCCATCACTTCCTACCTGCGTGATCTTGACCATGTCACATAAAATCTCCAAGCTAAAGAGTCCTCAACTGGGAAAGAGCCATAATTACACTGACCTTTTAAAGTTGTGGGGCTTTAAAGACAATGATGCATCTAAGATCCTTATACAGTGCTTGGAAAACTCAAAGCTCAAGAGTGGGAGCTGTTATTATTTTTATTAATTTTAATAAGTTATAATTTTATAATTCTGCCTATTATTTTCTTAGCATTCCCATATCAGGTCTTCTTTCTAAGGGCAAGCAAACCTTGCCTCCCCACTCCGCCCTTTTCCTTCCTCTCCATTCCCTCCATTAGTATTTGTTAAGTAACTTCCAGCATGTGACTGCCTGGAGTGCTGTGTTGAGAAGGATTCTGAGTGCCAGAATTCTAAATGCTGCTCATTTGGAATAGATTAGCGATTTCTTCCACAAACATGAAACTAAGGAGAGTAAATATTTCGCAGGAACGCAGAAAAGATTTTGGAGATGGTATGTGAGAAAAGATTAGGAGAGAGGGGGATATATAAAGCCTGGCAGGGTAAGGAGGGCCTGTGAGAGAGAACGAAAATGGCTAGAGGAGATTTTCATTAAGTTATGTGATGTGTGCAGTGCGAGGTAAACCCCTTCCATTGTTTCTTGAGGATATCTTCAATATAATCCACTTTGTTTGCTAGTGTTTTTGAGATGGATTTAAATTTTTAGGGCTGAATAGCAGAGCTGAGTTCTCTGAGGTGGCCTGGGTCAAATCCAGAGATACCCATGTGGGGATAGCCACATATGGGTGACCTAGTTAAAAAAGAAAAAGGAAGCAGGATTGCATCATATCCTCTCTTTACTTTGGTCCAGGAAGGTTAACGAGGATTGCTATCAATTTTTGACTCAATGCTATGAAAAGAGGCAACAAGTAACGTGCTACTCTGTTTCTTACATTCGCAGCTGGGAGGAGAATGTCTTTGTGTACGACCTGGTGAACAGCTGTGTTCCTGGCATCCCAGCTGACATCTGGATAGGCCTTCATGACCACAGACAGGTGAGGTAGCCATGGCCATCAGGTTCCCTTGGAAGCTTCAACCAAGATTCCATTTTGATTTAACAAACCTTTCATATATGTGCCAGGTCATTGCTATGCAACCAGCATGCAGAGAAACCAGACACCAAGATGCCACAGTTAGAATATGATAAATGGGAAAGAGGATATGATGGCAACTATAGTATGGTCAGTGAAAGCCTCCATTTTAGCTTGGGTTCTCAAAAAAACAGACACCAAAATGTGATTAGATGTGCAAAAGATTTTTGAGGGGAAACATCTGTGAAAGAAAAAAAGAGGACAGTGGCATAAGGAAGCAGGGAAGGACTTCAGACCACAATGTGGGTCTTAGACCTGTGAAAGGAAAGGGGGGGAGGAAGGACTGGGTAAGAAGAGCCTCAGATCACAGCACAGTTCTGAGAAAGTCTCGGCTTGGCCAAAGGGGAGTCCCCCAGTGAAGGAATCTTGCATCGGGCAGGAATAGGCCAGCCCCGACATGCCGAGTCACTGACTGGGAACAGCCTGGACGCATGGTCTCACTGTGACTGCAATGGTAGATCCAAAGGGAAAGCAGCATGACCTCAGCACAAACAAGGTGTTGAATCCAAAGAGGCAGGAGAGCTGGAGCTGTCAGTCAACTCCACTCCCTGCAGCTGGTCTTCCCGAAGATGTTCTAAGCAGTGCACTTGCACGGACACCACAGCCTCTCTGGATAAAAGATATTGAAGCTAGTGTCTAACAGATAAACAGGAGTCAGCCAGAGCTAGAGCATTCCAGGGAGAGGGAACAGCATGGGCCAAGGTCCTGAGGTAGGGGAGATCATGGCACATTCAAAGAAGTTAAGGAAGACCAGTGTCTCGGATGCAGCGTGGGGCAGAGGTAGCTGGAATAATGATGGGAAATAAGGCAAAAAAGGGTGGCTTGGGCCAGATATCCTACCTGGCAATATCACAGCAGACTCCACCTGGATATTTCATCCCCAAACTTTCCCCAGGCAAGCTGCATACTGAGTCTCTGTTTTGCATGTATGATTCTTGCCCTGCCTCAGAGCACTAGAGGGTGGCTTGGGCCAGATATCCTACCTGGCAATATCACAGCAGACTCCACCTGGATATTTCGTCCCCAAACTTTCCCCGGGCAAGCTGCATACTGAGTCTCTGTTTTGCATGTATGATTCTTGCCCTGCCTCAGAGCACTATAGAGAACAGAGTTCCAGTTCCAGCTCCTGTTCTGCCACTTACTGGCTGGTAGGTAACTTTGGACAACTTTTTAAAATCTCTCTGAGCCTCAGTTTCTCTGTCTGTAAAATGGGGATGATAATAATAGTGCCTTGTAAAAAACAGATGAGCTAATGTATAATAAAGAGCTTAACATGGTGCTGGGCATGCTATAAGACTTCATTAAGGATGGTGGAAGTTGCTGTTAAAGTGGCAGAAGTAATAGTATGGCTAGATTCAAAATCAACTTTTTTTTAATCAATAGAATTAATCTGGCAAGAACCCACATAGAAGTTGTAATTTAAAAGCATTAAAATTTCCATTTATAACAGCAACTTTAAAATTGGATTATAACTATGTTAAATCAGCATTTAAAGAACTTGAATTACAAGACCTAATAATAACAACAACAATAATAGCAAACCATACAGAAAAAGGGCTTGTTTTGTTTTGTTTTTTCCTTTTCAGGGTTAGGCACCATGTGCCAGGCATGTTGGTGAGTCCTTCATATTCTTTAATTCATTCAACACTCACAACAACTCTCTGAAGGAAATATTACCTCCAGTGTATAGTTGTGGAAACTGAGGATCAGAGAGGTTAAGTAACTCATCCAGGTTGTAGAGCTAGGAAGGGTATGGAGATGGCATCTCAAGCTCTAGTCTCTCTCTCCCTCTCTCTTTCTCTCTATCAGAAATAGCATGCTATTTTAATTATATGACATGGACTCCATAATCATTGGTGCCTTGTAGGATACTTTTCTAAAAACTTGAATAAATGGAGAAATGGATCTTGTTCCTGGACGTTGCAAAAATATAGTTCTTTCCACAGTTAATTTGCACATTTATTTGCAACACCAATCAAATTCCCAACAGGACTTTTCTTGAAATTGGACAGGGTAATTCCATATCGGGCAAGAAAAACACAAAAACTATCTAACAAAAAGAAGAGTACTGAAGAGTGATTCCCATTCACTGGTGAAGTGTAGTAGCTAGAATCTTGGGTACTGGAGTCAGGTAGTCCCAGGTTTGAATTCCAGCATGAATGCCTTATTAACTGTATGAATTTGGGTAGACCAATCTGAGTCTCAGTTTTCTCATCTGTAAAATGGAGATGATCATGCCTGCTTTGAGGATAAAATGAGTAAGGAGACTGGCGTGGCACATAATAAGCCTTCAACAGATGGCAGCTAGTAATAGCAGTAGTATCAGATAGCAGTAGTATCAGCGAGGACTTCTGCACAGAGGTATTCAATATAGAGGTGCTAGAATGTTATCCCTGAGCTGGAGCTGTCCCAAATGCCTGACCTTCCTCTCCTTGACTTGCTTCTTTGCCTCTGGGGAGACTCCCCCAGGAAGGGCAGTTTGAGTGGACCGATGGCTCATCCTATGACTACAGCTACTGGGATGGGAGCCAGCCAGATGATGGCATCCACATGGACCCAGAAGAGGAGGACTGCGTGCAGATATGGTACCGGCCCACCAGCGGTGGGTGCCCCTGAAACCACATCTCTGGGGGTGCTGGGGAGGCTCCACGTGGCACGGGAGGTGGCCAGGAGACTGGCAAATTGTTCAGCACCTTGGAGAGCACTCAGGGGGTAGTTAGGGTGCTAGGGGCATGGCCATTCTCCACAGTGGACGTGTTTTGTACAATACTTAATGATGCGTTATTGACACGCAGACTGATTTGAATGAAAAGACTTTAGAGATAGAAGCATGGAAAAAAAAAAAGACTTGTACAGAGAGCAAAGTATGATGCTTCTGTCAGCTCACAAAAGCACTGAAGTGCAAGTCCACCCCAGGCCCCTACTCCTGAATATTAGAACAAGACTGTGCCTGGGGTAGCACTGAGGTGTAGGTAGTGAAGAGTATAGATGTGGGTTCGAATCCTGGCCCTGTTGCTTTCTAGCTCTGTGTTCTTGCAGGGAATAACTTACCCTCTCTCTTAGATTCCATTTCCTCTTCTATAAGATCGGTTTAAAAATTGTTCCTACCTACAGGACTCTTATGAGGACTCTGGAGTTGACTGCCCTTGTCTGAACTCCAGATTCTCCTCTTATTAATTGTGTAGCCCAATGAGAATGCCTTAACATCTTGGTGCCTCNAAAAGAAGAAGAGAATGTACATAAAGTGGCTGCCATGGTTAGCGCTTGGTATTAACCATCACCATCATCATCATCACTGACAAATCATCACTCCTCACACCAATCTTAAGAAATAAAAACTATTAATATTCCCATTTTGTAGATGAGGAAACTGAGGCTCAGAGAAGTTGAGCAACTTGTTCAGGGTCACACAGCATGCAACTAGTGGAGCTGGGTTTCACACCCAGATCTACAGAACTCCAGAACCAAGCATTTAACTACTATTCCCTCTTTGCTCCTTTTCTTTTCCTAATTAGGGGAGGGAGGTATGGAACTGCTTACTGTCCTGGAGCTGCCCTGGAGCCTGGTAGCCAGAGTTAGGCCAAACCTCTGGGTAAAGTCTGTCCTCCCATCCTTAGTGACAAGTCAAGACCAGCTTTATGAGACAGTGAGGCTGGAGCAGTCTTGTAAAGCATAAGCAAGAAAGGGCTGCAAGTGTAGACATGAGCCTACTGGAGAGGACTTTTTCTCCAGTAGAGTGGTGGGGTTAGTTTTATTGTGGTGGATGGATCTTCACTCAGATTCTCTGCTTCTTTCCACCACAGCTCTGAGGTCATGGAATGACAACACCTGCAGCCGGAAGTTCCCCTTTGTCTGCAAGATCCCATCTCTGACCATTCATTGATCCAGTGTTGCCCTCCTGAAGTGAGCTCAACTCCAGCATCATCTCATAGCAGTACCTAGTGTAGAGTTGACACTGAATAAACGTAAAACACACATAGGAGGTAAATCTCTCAGAGAGATTTTAAACAAGCAAATCTTAATTACACAGGGTGGCCACTTGGCCAAGTGACAGGAAATCCAACTCAAACTGGCTTAATAAATAAAAAGAGGTGGTGGATTTATTGGTGCAAGTAACAAAAATCTGGGCTTGTTCTGGATTCAGAGTCTAATCGTGAGAGCTTGATGTGGGTCACGTGCCCACACCTGACACAGTCACTCTGGCATATGCTGACTGGCTAGGCCCTGCAAAGATGCACATCACTGGGGCAGAATGTGTGGGAGTCAATATCAGCTGAGGGGCTTGGAGTGAGAAAAAGGTGGGGATATTGATCAAAGGTACAAACTTTCAGTAACAAGATGAATAAGTTCTGAAGACCTAAGGCACAGCATGGTGACCGCAATTAATAATAATGTACTGTGTACATGAAATTTGCTAAGAGAGTAGATCTTAAGTCTTCTCACACACACACACAAGAGATAAATATTTGAAGTGATGGAGAGGTTAATTAGCTTGATTGTGCTAATAATTTCACAATACATACATCAAAACATTATGTTGTACATTTTACATATATACAATGTCAATCTTACTTCAATAAAACAAATAAAAGTATATATACATATTTATATATTATTTATTTATAATATATATTTACCTATACATATATATTTATTTGCATTTTT